CTAAAAGTTGGTGTAAAACATCTTCAACTGAAAAAATCTTGAAGCTAGATGGTAATTCCAATATTCAGGAAATTAATCATTAAATCATTATTTGCTATTGGTTTCAGTGTTTTAGACTAACAATTAATTACCAAATTATGAAACCATTCACACACATATTTGTCTTGATAAACTGGGAAGATTTGCAGCACAAAAACAGAAGTCACCAATCTGAAACGGTGTAATATACAGACAATTAATTTAAACTAGAACATAACAGTGGCAAAAGAGATCAAAACTACTTCCAAATCATTATTTTTATAGTCAGCAGTCAACAAAATGACAATCTATCACTCTGAAGAGTAAAAAAAATGAAAACAGGTATTAACAAACCCATAATGCTCATATACATCATTAATTACACACAGGTTGCCACTTAGACTTTCAAGTATCAATGGACAAAAAAGGGGAAAGAGATGGCTAAAACAAGTCTTCTAGCTCTCCTCAGGGTCTTCATTTGTATAAAGAGAATAAAACCAGCATGTATCTTTCTCTCCATCCAGCATGAGAAGAGCAATGTTTTTCATACTTCAAAAATTACTAAAATAACAAACAATAAAGTTCAACATCCTTTTTACTCCTTTTAGAATAAAATTCTAAAGATCTTGTAAGTTGAACAAAAGAAAGCAATTTTCAACTACCAGACTGCATGCACAAAATTATTTCAGACTACAGCCCACATTCTGACTATTTTGAAGTAAAAAAACCTAATTCTTGAAGAGGTTGCTTGGACCACAGAACAAGGTTCTTCAATGATATATGTGACAGGAGACAGTAGTAATAAACTGAAAAAAGGAGCTACTGACCACATGCATACAACAGTAAAAAGCCAGCTGCAAGAAAAAGAAAATACTGGAACAGGAATTGCCATGAGGCTGTTGAATCTCAAGACTCAAGCGGACAAAACACTAAGTGAGCTGATCTGAACTCAATGTTGAAACTGTGCTCAGCACGAAGTTGGGCTACATGATCTACAGAGATCATTGTCAACTAGGATGACTTTGATTTACCCAGCTATCCATATGTACATATTTATTTTCTTTACCATCTGAATGAGTTCAAGATAAGGATAAAGTACCACAGCAAAATCCTCTTATGAACATGGCATGATCTGGTTTAAGCACAAGATTAGGATGCATAGGATATTTGCTTTCATCTGTCTGAAGTAAATGAAACAGAATTTATAAAAAAGTTATTGCAAAGACAACTATTTTCCTCAGCAAACAATTAAAAAAAAGAATTTTTCCAAAAATCAACAGATCTTCCTACAAATACTTCTGACAGTGCCTTGCTAGGAAAAAATATGGCTTAAAAGAAATGAAAGTTTGCTGTATTAGTAAGAGGTTTTGCAACCAATCCTGCTAAACACCACAAATACCAACAAGCTTCTCAGATGTACAAAATGGACTTCTGACAATTTTCAATATTTTATCGATCCTTATGCAAGCAATTATTAATCAAGGGAAACCAGTTAACTATGAGAATAAGAACAAATAATTTTAAATGATGACTTTGTTATAATGAAGATCCAAAGTTTAAAACAGTTCAAAGAAGAAAACCACCTTTTTTTTTATTATTATTAATTTAACAATACAGCGAGTGCAACACAGTAAGGTAATGCTTTTGGAGTTAAAGATACTATGTTACAGTGGGTTTGGTGTAGTTATATTTTCCTTAAGAGGTGATGAACAGCTGCTAAGTTAAGGTCCAAAAAAACACACTTATTTTTAACATTTGGCAAAGGTTTATGGTTCTCTGTACAGACATTTCAAAGTGTATGTTGGAAATAAATATGAAATGTCAATATTTAGCTTTATTCCAGATCTTTAATGAAATTGCTGCTTCTGTGGAATATTCTAAATATGTATTACAGCTCCCATTGCACAGATTGGAAAACTGGAAGGGATAAAAGAAAAATTTATAAGTATAAAATTAAACAATAGGTAGCCAGGTTTTCCCACTGACCATATTTCAGCATGTTTACTTTGACTTCATTAACAGAAATCAAGCTTAAAAAACAAGTCAAAACAAAGCTTTTCCTCTCTGGGTTCTGAGACTACTAACCTTCATTTAAAACTCACTGCTATGCTGCAAGTTTATTTTACAGACAACTAGAGCACTATTAGCTTAAATATTGCAAAATATGGTACACAGTCATGAAAAAAAACATACTTTGTGTGAAAGAATATGTATGTAGAGAATTACTTGTCCTTCATGTGTCTTACTACATTTATGCAAAAATATCCCAGTCCCAAAGTGGTCATTATAGCTGTTGGCATTCAATCCACAGATCTCTACGAGGGGTTTATTTTGCTCATTGGCTTTAAGACATAAAATGACTGGTTTGTTTTTTCTGACCGACGAGAATTACAGGTACACTTATTTTTAAATTGCCATCATACATCCCTGAGCTACGTAGAAAACATGTATGGAGACAAGGCAGTTAACAAAGAACAAGTTTTCATTTTCGTTCAGGACAAACTGCTTTTTAATGTTTTAGCTAGTCAAGGTGAACCTGAGGTTCCTCATCAGAATTCACTGCAACTTCCTGACACATGAAAATAACCTCTGCCCCAGTTATTCTTCACTAGCACAAGCATGACTGCTTCAGTGACCATAAACTATGGCAATTTATATGGGCATGGACCTGCCCTGAGGCAGCTTTAAAATCAGCTAATGTGTTATTTTGGGCTTTGCTTTTAAATACATCTAATCTCAGACAAAACATGCCATATTAAAATCTTCTAAGCCACACATTCACTGTATTTTTTTGCCAGAGAGTCCAGGGAGTATAAGGTAAAATAAGTAATGACCTTGGACTCATGTAGCTAAAGCCCAATCAGTATAGTGGTTACTACACCAGCAAAATTACCTCTGAAAGTGGTTCTTCATTTGCTGGTGCTGGAAAATGCAGATACTTTCCTGAAATAGGCTGAGCTTGAGCTCTGTAGCACACGATGAAGCTCTGGGTGTCATAAGTTAGCCAGGCACATGAAGCACTGAAACTTGACCTAAGAAACCCCCTTGAACTCTAATATATCTGTTCTTCTCTTAGTTCATCTAAAATCCAAACACATTTTCGTGTAAGTGATCTTGCCAACCAGGATCATAAAACTCGAACACATTCCACATCTTCCAAATCAAGAAGTTAATTACAAGTGGTATTCATAATTTGGGAGATTCTTTTTATTTCTATGCTTTAAAGGATGCACTTGCCAGAAACATGACAGATGTAAATTTTTTTTAACGTGAAACCTGAGAACGTAATTTAATCTGACTGTAGCAGCTAAAAGCGTGTATGAAAAACAAACATTACAAGACTTCCAGTAATCTCAAGTACTGGCAGCAATGCCGTAAGAGCAGCTGTAACTGAGAAATGCTTAGATGGACAAAAAATTTATTCACGTTCAAAATAAATATGCCAAAGATTACTATATTGAAGATCTCAAGGATCTCAAAGATAGACATCTATGTCAAACAACACTGGCAATAAAAATATTTTAAAAAGAAATACTTAGTGAGCAAGTGTGTTATAACAGCAGTGTGACTTCTTGGGAGGCTTTTCTTCTTAATAGATTTAATAGCTAGTGAGGTCTAAATTAATTACTAGTAATACTCTTGACAATTATATTTTGACAAAACAAAAAGAATCCTATTTCAACATTTATATTGGAGTGAGAAAAGTTCTAGGAAAAATAACTTAGGAATAATGAAGTGTTCTACTACATCTTTCCCTCCCAGCCAAGATTACCTGTATTTTCTTCTACTCTTTAAGCAATTTAAAAAGGAACAAAATTTATACAGATGTCTAATACCTTCCAAAGAACCAGAAGCTAATAATTTTTCAATTGCCTGTTACATAAATGTATTTGCTATAAAATTCAGAATTGAAAGAAAAAAAACCAACAACTGAAAACGCAACTGTAGCTTCAGAAGACTTTGCTGTGAAATTAAGAGAACCCATAGTGTTTGGTATCTTTAATAAGATATGCCTCACAGGAAATAGGATACTACAGTTTTATAGAAGATGAACACTTTTAAAATATTTATAAATTTACATGAACATCATCCATATATACCATGACGCATTTCAATAATTATTCCACAATACAATGGGAGTGCATGCTCAAACAAAACACCTCAGCAGTATTTTAAAGCAGTAAACCACCTAGCCAATTTCTGTACATTCTGTAGTTTTTCTAATCCACTCTCCCTGTGGTTGAGCAAAATCGAATTGCCTCTCACATTTGCAGACAGCTCTGTGAAGGTGATAATAGAGCTGCTCCCTGCTGTCATGAGGCAGGAAATAGGAAAATGGCATATGGGGCTAGAAAGAAATAAAAAGAGAACTAAACAAGAACAAAAGAGATTTCAACAAAGGACAACTATAACCCAATATGCTTTGCAAGTTAATCTCTTTTCATAATAATTTAACGTACTTAATCATTTATCTGCACACTTCTCAAAAATGCAAATGCTTGATATCAACTCCTCTGTAAAGTTTTATTGCTCAAAACATTTGGAATAGGAATTTTAATAAAAATCATCATATGCAACGCCTGCAAATCAATGCATTCTTAGTACCCATGTTAAGGGGCTGAACCTACTCCAATCAGTTAGTAATTGATCTCAGATTTTGTAGCTAAAATGTAATATATAAAACAATATATACTTGGATTATTAGTTGTAAACCTGTTGAGTGACACCTGAATAGGAAAATATTAAGAGAGGATTATGACTGGTTACGTGTACTGACAATGTCAAAGACTTCCAGCCTGTTTAATGACTACTTATCTAAGATGCAGAACTGGAAGTGATCTTTTCATTTACGATGAATTTTTGTTTTATTTTTTTTTTATACAGTATGGGCCTCCAATAATCAAGTACTTACACATATTTACAGTGCTTCTGTATTAAATCTTACTGAAGTACCTTAAAAATAAAAAGCAAGTCTACTATACCTTTCCTTTTACACTCTGAATGGGATCCACCACCACAGCAACAGCTCTTTCTGATAAGGCTTCAAAGCTCTGCTGAGTATTAATATCTACACCAGACAACCAACAGCCAAAGCCAGGATGACTGTGATACCAACCAACTACCATCTCAGGTCTGAAACAAAGAGGACACTGATATTTTTAAAAATATAAACACTTATCACAAGAAGAAATAGGAACAGATCAGGGCATAAATTAGAATGAGCTGCAAAAAAAACATCATTAGTAATATTTAAATGACTCACCATACTATGGTGAAAACATGGACATGAATAAATGCGACAAAAGAAGGCTATCATTAAGAGATACACATTAGCAGTGGTAGATCATGCTTTCAGTTTTTCACCCTGTTACCACACCTTCCCTGAACCAGTTTTTACCCTTTCAGCACTCGAGTAAATATCTACTCTTTAACTCCTTGGCGTCGAAGGTTGAATTTTCACGGCAGAAAGTCCATTTCAGTCATGGACAACGGGAACCAACGGTGGGAAAGGATTAAATATCAATTAAACCAGCAGTAGAACTAGGAACTCAGTCAAAAAGCAATTTGCACTGTTCTGTTCAGCTGCTGAGCCTTTTGCTAACATTAATTTTGAAGTTTTTCCCACAGTAAAAGAATTTGAGCAAGCAGACGACAACTGTTGAGAGGTAGGAGTGAAATAAAAATTTGTTTAAATACTCGGATCTTTTGCAAAATTATTTTCCCTTTCTTTTCATTAAAATTTCTCATGAATAAGCTATAACTTAAAAAAAATATAAAATTTTATTTAAAGGGTTAAACAAAAAAAACAATCTTTTAAGCAGGTGCTGTGTAGTAATCGCCTATGCTAATCTGAGCAGCATTCTAATCTTTCTGGGCGATAATCAAAGCTGTAGGTTTAACAGGAGTGACAATCTCCTGACAATTTAAATGCATGAGGGAGACTGAATTACATGCTATGTTACTCACCCAACTTCTGGGGCAATTATTTATTTTTAAGTATTATTAATAGCTCTTAGATCACTAGTTTTGCAGAAAGCCAGGCATTTCTTCTAAAAACCATGGAAGGAGTACTTGTTTCTGTCAGCCCTCTTTAGAGTGACTTACCTTCCCGTCTGTTTCAGCATATCCAACATTTTTGCCTGAAATACAGGATCAACTGCCTCCACACTGACACCCTGATTTAAAAGACAGACAAAAATCATAGTAGTTGTACATGAAGCAATAATATCTTTTAACTTGTAACTTCACACAAACAAAAATATTCATAAGCATCTGTTTAAAAAAGCAACCTGAATACTTTAGTACTACATGACAGAACACCCTTAAACACAAAACATAATTTTTAGAAATGTATTTCAATGTGATTTTTAAAATGCTAAATGATTATTAATAGTTTATTTTGAATTGCTATTTAAGTAATCTTTACTATGAGTAAACATGATTAAATAGGCATAGAAATTCACCTTTTTCTCCTCTGTTTGGTCTGCAAACAGTGGCGTGTTGTTTGTTCCAAGTTCAGCTCTACACGTTATATTCAAGATAAATATAACATATTGGCTTTTTGCAGAATTTTGTATTATGCACATGTATAGAATAAACTCAGGACAAAAGAATTTGAAAATTTCATGGGGTGCAGCTCTGAGTTACAAAGGAATCATCCCATGCTTGTTTTAAGAACATTTCATTCTAATTAGAGAAAATAAAGCATCATAAAATCCAATTATGCTCCTTGACTCTTTGTCACTTTAATCTGTTCATAAAATGGATATTCTTACTCAAAATCTAAATACATATTTTTTTTCAAATCACAGAAGTACCATTTAAGACACATGCAACTAAGATCTGTCAAAGAAAGTTCGAAGTATATAGCACCATCATAATTAAGGGCACGATACACTTCTAATCAAACCTTTTACATTTTGAATCTTTCTGCTGGCTCATAGAATATGAGTTCTGAAAGTTATGAATTTGTGAGTCTTACTAGTCATGTTATACCACTATATTTCCACATAAAAAAGACATAATATCTGCATATATTGATATACACACTTAAGCACCAGCCTTCACTAAAAAAGTTTTGACTACATATTTTTTTTACTGAAACCCTTTAACCATTAGACTTATTTGTATTATAACTCACAACTTATACTTTCAAATTGTGTCAATGAGATAAAGCACAAAAAGTTTTTTAAAAATAAATTTACCCTAAGGAAAAAAAAACAAACAAGAAAATAAAATTATCAAGGTCTAGATATAAAAAACTCACCGTTCCAGACTGTGGCATTGCAAAAACATCAATCACTCTCACAGTATAATCATCAACAAATTCCCCAAGCATCAGACCCATAACTTCCATAGGGACACCAGCACGACCATGCTTCAACATCTGGAATTAAGACCAAATGACACCACATGTTTAACAGAAGGTTCAAGTTTGATTTGAGGTAGTTTTTTCAGCCTTTGTAGATCTCTAGCTAGTTTGCAACTTGTAGCACTTTTGGAAACTGTAACATACTATAAAATAGTAAAACAAAGCCAACAAAAGACAACTAATTAAAATTAGTTTCTGAGGGTTCCAATGAGCATTAATTTATTTTTAATACGTCTGGCCAGCACATAGGCAAGACAAGTCCATTAACTCTGGACCACTGCCAGGTGCTCTAGCTCCAGTATTACATTATATCAGACATGGTATGTACACAGAACACTTACTTTCAGCAGTGCAAGGGAAGAGATATAAACCTGTTCCGCTGTGTCAACTGCAGGAGCATCTGTCGGTGGCCCCTATAAAAAGAATAAACAATTATTTTCACCAGCATTGTTATTCTGTTGTTTCTAAATATTTTCTTTTGTTTTGCATATTGCAAAACTTATAGAAAAATCCATATGTAATTGTGACTTCATGGGTTAATGTAGTTGTTACAAACAAAACAAAAAAATGCACACCCAGTCCCCAAACCCTTCTTTAAAGCACCTTCTGTCACTAAAATTATTTTGTAATAGGTCACTCAGCCATCATCCTGTCGCCCCCCCACTCCAAATAACACAGTCTAAAGAGCAACCTTTAGAGCCAGTCAAATATAAAGCAGGCAAGTGTTACACTGGATACAAACCTGTTACAAGCCATTCAGGCTAAGAGTCAGGTAAGTTTCCATTAGTCAGCCTTGCTGCAATGCTAACCTTCGTCAGCTGTAAAATATGGCCAGTTCTCCAATTAACTATGTGTTTCTTACAGTGGTGTGAATGTAAATGCTGCTGGGCTAGCATGATTAACTGGCACCAACACAAACAGCAATTTCCCTTTGCTTCATCAGCTTTCAGCTAAAGAGGACTTGGAGATAAAGGCTATGGGAGTACTTTGCAGATACACTGGTACAGTGAGAGAAAAAACGGACCTCTGATCCCTAGGTGGAAAAGCTGTGAACAAAATACTTTGCTCTTTGCCTTATGAGTAGTTATTCAAAAATTAGCACAACTGTCCCAGGTGTGAATGATTGGTTGAAACAGGTTCTGTGTACTGTTGAAATTGAAAAACACAGGAGGCAGCAGTTTAAATGTCCCTTTCTTGAGGAACAAGAGAAATATTGCTGTTATATACAGAATTTCATATCAGCGTACCTCATTACAGCAAATTAACAGCACATTCATTACTTTATTACCAAATTTCCACTGAAATGACAGCTTACTTCTGCATGAGGTGATGCAAACTTAGAAGAGCAACAAAGCAACTATGGAAAAAAAAAAAGGTACTCCACATCAAGCTAAAAGAGGAAAAATGGTGCCTTTACAAAAACACTTCATAGATTTAGAACATTGATTCCACAGTTCTAAGCAAAATTGGGGGGAAAAATTGAATAAATTCTTAATTTTTCACTTTAAGTGAAAAAATTCAACCAACATTCATCCACATGACATCAAACAAGACATAGCAATCCACACAAGCCATTACCTCCTGAAGATAAAACCAGATACTTAACTAAACAACACATAACATGTATACAGGAATTACCCTTTCTACATTTTGTAATCACTTTGATTTTTACACAAACAGAAAAACATCAGTCTTCAGAATAAAGCTTTAAAGACAGTAAGAAAATTCAGCTGTGGATCTTTCCCCGCTAAAGTCAATCAATCTATGAGTTCTACATCCAATCTTTATATTATGAATCCAATCTTTGTATTTTGAAACTCACATATACACACGCATCTGTCAACCACATCCACTTCCTAACAGCTTCAAACCTCTGTTTCCAACTTTGATACTGCTGACCATCATCTCTTGATGTTTGCCCTTCCTCACTTCTTACTACTCACTCCTAGTTCTGTCACTTCAGCTTTTTCATCAGCAATCTTCCAGCAGGTTTCCCTGCTTTTCACCTTCCATAGTATTCTCACCAAAGGTCCATTTTTTATCAACTCCACCCCTTCATCAAGTATTTCCCTGGCCTAGTGCTAGCCCAAGCCCAATAGTAAGATGCTCCAGTGGAGAAGTGCTCCTCTAGCACTCACACTGAAAAACTATAAGCAGTTCTTCAGAATATTTCCCAGAACCAGATGGGCAGAGCACCTGCATTACTTATCCCAAATTTTCTGCAATTAAATTGTTTGACTGGCAAAGGTTCAAATGCCCAATCATTTTGTAGTGCTGTTCCCATGTTTTTCTCCATAAACATGTCAGTTTACTTTTTAAACTCTCTCTCTCCTGCTTTAAGTCTTGGAAGTTCATTTAGAATTTGGAAAGCATAGACTCATGTTTCCATTTAATTAATGCAAAGAAAAAAGCCAAGGTAAGTTGAGTTTTAATTTTAAAAGTAACTTACTAGTTTGTTAACAAACCCCTTTTTTAATACACTACGCTCTCCCAATTTTCCACCAGTTCTAGACCAGAGATGGTCTGAAGGGAAGAAGAACCATAATATCCATGTGGTGATCACCAAATGCATCCTACATTTGTTCCAGATTTTAACATTCCACTGTAAGCAACCATCCCATTCAGTAATTTTTAAAATAAAGAACAGTGTAATAAAAATCTCCCCCAGATTAGCACAAATGGTTCCATGATTTCTGGAAAGCTAATCTCCCTATTTTACTGAGAGTAGCTTCTCAAAAACAGGAGCCTGAACTGAAGCTTACTCCATAGACTATGGCTCTTGGATGAGCTCTCCTCTGGGGATTTCCTAGTGTCTGTTAAAATCACACTGACACCTGTCCTGCAGCTGAGGCATTAATCACAGCTCTGTCCCCTATATAGATGCCTGTGCCCTCTACTTATAAAACCTTGTTCTTCAAAACTTTTCTCATTTTAGCATCAGTCAGTACATTCACCACTTACAGGAAGGAAACAAAGACAAACAATACATTTTGTTTCTATAAGAAGGCAAATGAATCACCTTCATTTAAGTGAAGGTGGGAACTAAAGCAGGTGTTCCTAATATTTCCTTGTAATTTCTATATTCCTTGGAGAATCCAAATGCTCATTTACCTTGATGATGGTGCAGAAGAGGGGATACTTAATATGAAATTTCATCAAATCTTTAGACATTCTATGAAATAAACCTGGTTTTTTTTCCAAACTTACATTGAATTCCTGTTGCCAGTGCCCATAGTCAACAATTTACTTTCAGCACAGGAAACCCTGCTAATTCATAAAGGAATTCTTCATCAGTGTAAACCAACTTGATTAACTTTTGCTATTTTTTTTAAAGCCATAGTATTCACTGTGAAGGATTTTACATACTAAATGTGCTTAATTATATATAAAAATGACCACATTAAGGATTAGGAGGTATCAACTGCATACTTCACTACTTCAATTTAAGCACATACAAGACACAGAAAAAATACCAAACATGAGTTTCCACTCTTACCGTTCAGTTCAACCAATTTAGCTAACTTGTAAAAATTAGCTAATGGTAGTATACAAGACGGGTTTGTTAATGCTCAGTCATCTTATAAATACACAGCACATACCAAGTATTTCCTTGGTCACTGATGCTTGTTTGTGTGACCTATCTCCTTTCTGTCTGCTCTGTTCTTCTTCTAGATTTTAATTATTAGGTAGATTATGGAAAAATTGAAGCCCTCATGGCACCGTACAAATTATGTGTATTAATTTTTCATGTTAATATTCCTTCCTTTGTTCTGAATATCAATTACAATAAACTGCTTGAAAGAGTACTGAAATTCAGGAATTTTGAGGAGGAAATGATGCATAAGTCAAGTTTCATATTATTTTTCTACTGAAGATAAACTGCAACATAAAATACTATAAGCACACATTCGTATTTCTATAGGAAATGCTAAACCCTCAAAGATTTAATAGATAAAGTCAAATGGAACTTCCAAGTAGTTTACTTGACTTTAGATTTGAAAACAGAGACATTTGGAAACTGGAACCAATTTCTTCCATCTCTGATCACCTCCTTTTCCACAAATGGCTGATAATCTAACACAGCCCTGGAGTGACAGCCCCAGCTTCTGCGTGTTAGTTACACAGTATGTGGGAGCCAGCTATGAGTTACGTGTTTTGAGATCTCTTTGGCCTGTTTCTAGTAGTCTTTCACAAAAGTTTATGCATTTCTTTCATCAAGCAAAGAAGAAGAAAGATTTTATTAGCTAATCTCTACATGGAGGCAAATATTTTACACTGACCCTCCACAGCATGTGCTATTACCACTGTTCATAAACTTCACTGCCTGCCAACTTTAACAAAGAAGCACCATCCTTACGAAGCAGAGCACCAAATTAAATTAACTGGTATCAGGAACCCAGACAAGAAAGCGTTTGTGTCTGCAATGCAAAAGAGCTGCTGGTATTTTTGGCTACGTTACCATATTCAAAGGACAGCTATCTCAATGCATAGTTTTAGAAGACTGTCCATCTCACTGCAAAACAGTGAATATTGCATACCTACAGCTTTATTGGGTTATTTCTTGGAGAATTGGGGAAAAATTAGATTTGGAAACTGAAAGAAATACTGAACTTTCTTTTTCCCAACTATGCATGTATAAGCTGGATACAGTAATTATTAAAATTTAAAAATTGCTGTAAAAAATACTGTTATGTGTTACTGAAAAATTGATGCTCCTTCTTTGCTTCCAGTCATGAAATGAGCTGCCGGATGGCCACCTCATAAAACCCAGCCAAGCCTCAGGATTGTTTTTGTTTAGAATGGCAGAATTCCAAATACAAAATTAAAATTAAGTTACCGCTGTTCAAATATTTTTTTTTTTTTTTTTTTTTTTTTAGTAAGACTTGTAAGGGAAAAGGAACCACATGCAAGTTATGGTCAGAAAATTACATCGTAATATTAAATGATGGATGTTACTATTTTTGTTTCAAATAGTTAAAGAGATGATCCAATATAAAAAAAGGAGTCCTTTACTTGGGTAGCCCCTGTTGACGAAGTGTTAAAGGCATTTGCCATTCTTACATGATAAAAACTAACGCCTTGAAGTGTTACCTACTTGGGCCTTTTAGCAAATTTGTTAACACTTTTAGGTATATTACTTCACCTTTCTCTTAGTGTGAACCAATATAAATTATTTAGCCAATTTTATTATTAAATGTGAACTAAAGTGTCATTTTAGAGCACTGCTCTTTATTTGTACTATTTTAAATTTATTCAAATAGGTATAGAAAGTAGACTTGATTAATTACACAAGGAACTGAGATATATTCCATAAATGGATATAACTTTCCATTGTTTAAATGGATCTTAAACACTGCTCTGGTTTCATGCTAATAGCACAGAAGGTGATTTGAAATGCAGCATAGCTGTTTCA